ACGTAACGACAAAGGACTATATAACCCAATACGACCCCATGCACCCCTCCTACCAGCTACTCTCACCCCAACTGCCAACCACTATCCATGTAAGCCGAATACGCCTCGCTGTCACGACCCCGTCGTACTCACCACCTTCCCCACTTCCCAGAATGTCGAACACCACCTTCGAACCCGGCTCGGCCGCGTTCCGTTTCACCAGGACGAACCGCCCCGGCTTCGTGATCTTATACTATGGCGCCATCGCGCATCGCAGCGTCAACCGTCGCGCGTCGCCGGCCCCCCTCCACCCCAACCCCATCAAGAACCTCGACCTCCTCCTCACGGCGGACGTCAACCGCACCCAACTCGCCGAACTCTACCTCTCCGCGTACGTCAATACCCTTCCCGAGGGCATCCACTCCGAGGCCCTCGTCGACACGTACAAGGATTACATGGAGACTAGCATCGGCCTCATGTTGTGGTCCCGGACCCTCTACGTTTTCGGTCGCACCGAAGAGGAACGTAACGAGCGCCTCGCGCTCGCTCAAGGCTCAATCGACAGTGCGGGCGCCCGCGCCGGTCAGCTCGATGCAGTGGTGCAGATTCTCCGCCTCGGCCGCGACGACCCCCAGTGCCCCGGACTGACCCATATGACCATCATCTAGTAGTTTTAGAACACTACATAGTTCTCGGACCACCTGTCATAGCTCTCGTACCCCAAACTGTCGTTTGCCCAGATGTATTCTCGTCTTACAAACGTGCTTGGCGCCCCGTAGCCGCCGCACTCCCATCCACGTAAAAGCTATTAAGCACCCACAACTCAAAACGCCTAAAGAAGCGTTACAATCACCACAACCACACTGTGGGAAGAAAAACTGCGACAACCGACGCCGCAAAATTAAAAGCTGCCTTGTCCGAAACCTCCACCATCCGTTCGAACCGCCGCATCACCTGAGCCCTCCCACACCTCCCGACCGCGATATCCCCCAATACATCCGGCCGAACATCTCGATCCCCCTCCACGACGCCGCAAGACATCCGCCATCTCCCGACCTTCCCTATCGATAACACCCGGCCACAAATCGACGCCGCAAGACACCCGACTCCCTGCCTTGATCCACAAATTACCTTCCTCAGCCCACCCATCCATCAGTCGACGCCGCAGGACAGCGTCCTCGGCTCACCCGCCCTCATCTCCGGCCGAAACTTTTGGCAAGCACTGCCCAACCACAAACCAACACGACCTCGTACCATACCACGAATTTCCCCTCCAGGAAACCACGCTCCCTCGCTATGCACACCATTCACCCTTCCCCCGAAGCCCCGACGCATGAGCTCCGCCGCCTAGTAAGCCGCAACAGTCCGCCTCAACCGCCCACTCTAATTTCCCGACCCTATATCAGCCACATCGGCAGAAAACCCTTACAGTGTCTGTCCGTGCGCTCCGAACCTTTAGCAGCCTCTCCAGACACCTCGAACTTGCCGACGATCATGCGCCGCTCCACCCGCTCTCGCCCCGTTCCCCTCGCACAGCTCGACGACCTAGTCGCCTCTGTAGAAAACTCCGCTCAGGCCGTCCCCTACCACCCCGGCGCCAACCCCTTCGCTGTTCTCGAAGATGGCGTTCCCGGCCCGGTTGAGCTTGAAGTCCTCCCGCACGTAGCTCCACCGCAGGAAGACTTCCCCGAGATGCCCGCCTCCCCCGCCGGTGGCAGCGCCAAGCTCGTCAAGTTCAGCCTGGCGGACTTGTCGCCGACCGCCCAAGCCAAATGGACGAAGCATCGCCGCGACAGCTCGCGTTCTCCGACGCCGAAATCCACCAGGAAAGCCACCCCCTTCAGGGTCATCTCGGTTCGTACATCGCCACTACCCCGCTCCCAATAAACCCTCAACCCTCATCCAGGCCCCCTCCGCGGACGTCTTTAAGGACGACCCGTTCAGCCCCAAGGTACAAGGCCCGATCCCCGCTCATGATGATGAAGCCCTCGCCGCTGACTTGTACGTCCGCGGCCCGCCGTGCACTCCGATCATGCCTAACGATCCTACCTTCCTCAGAGTGCGGCCCTCACCCACTAAACAAGCCCCTACCGTTGAACCCCGCCCACCCAAGAGAGGCATCGAGACCATCACCCCGGACACCCCCAACCCACGCGCCGCCAAAGGGAAGCAACCCCTATACCCCAGAACGCCGAAACGCTATCGCCCCGATGAAGAAGACGACAACGACGTCTACGAAGACGACAGAGAAAGCGAATACGGGCCCCCGTTCATCCTTGTCTACCCCGGCGACGCTGCTTACCCTGGCGTCTGGGCCCGCGACACCGACGAACCCGTGTCTATGGACTCGGACCAGTACGGCGATTGGCTCGACTATCACCCTGAGGTCGGACCACCCACCAACGACATGGTAGACTTCGACCGCGCCCGTGCAGCTCAAGTCCACCACTACAGATCCGTCGCCGGCTTCCCGCCCCCGCCGAATCCTGACGACCCATACCAATCAGACGCCGAGGAAGTCCCCTACGTTGAGGTACCCAAACACTTCTTCACCTGGGTTCGCCGCGGCGACCCCGCCTGGCCTGGGATCTGGGCTCCGAAAGGTGCTGACGCCATCCGCCTCGACCCAGACGATTACGAGTTCTGGCCCAGGTTTAACGAACGTCTTAAGACGGAGCCGCTCCTCCGACCGCCCCACCACCGTCGTAGGATACGCGTCGAGGATGTCCGCCTGATCACCAACCCCGACGACGCTTGGAATATGAAGTTCGACAAAGCCGCCCCGAAGACCCCGCCACGCCCTCCGCAACAAGCCCCGCAGCCTCAAGGATTCGCAACTTTCGCCGAAGTCCTCCGCGCTGCGGCATCAGCCGAAGCCAACGCCCATGAGGTTGATCGTAAGCCGCCTAATACTCCTCTTCCCCTTCGTCCCTGACCACCCGCCTCAGCGACGGCTACGACCCAGGCCCCCGTCACACCTCCACTCGAGCAGCCCCGCCCCTTCGCTTTCACACACAGACCGCCGCCCTTCCCCAGCACGGCGGGACCCTCTACCAACCACCGCGCCCAACCTCAACCCGCCCACACGGTCGAACCCCTCGATCGGCCCGACGTCGAAATGCGCTCCGACTCTCCCCCCTTGCCGCCACCGCCGCCGCCGCCGCCTCCTCCCGCTACCCCACCAGCGCCTGTACCGCCCGCACCTGTACCACCCGCGCCAAATGCACAAGCGCCGACCGCCGCCGCCCCTCCCGCCGGTGACCTACCCCTTACCTTCACCTTCCAACCACTCCCTCCGCCCCACACTCTCGGCAGTACCGCTGCCCCAGCCGGTACGCCACGTTTCTGCCCCACCCATTCAGTCCAATCTAACGAATCACCAGCTATCGTCGACTGGCAATTCCTTTGGCCCACGGTAGACGACCCGATCCTAGGTGATGGCCGTGCCCGTGCCGACCCCCTCAACCCCATGCGCGGCCTCACCCCCGACATGCAGTCCGTCGCTTGGGAGCTAGGCAGCAACCACACGGCCATGTTCGTGTCTATCCTGGGCCTCGGCGTCAGCAACACCGCCGCCACCAACTCAGCCTTTGATCGCATCCGAATTCCCCTTCGCCTCGCCTACAACTCGCCCAACCTCGAGATCGCCTCCCCTCAACGCCTATACAACGCCCCGATCCGTGTATCCCACGCAGCGATCCTGCACGGTCTCACCAAACCCGAACACGACGCCATCCTGGCCCTCGGCACGTACTTACGATTCAACGACAACGGCACCCGACGTATCATCATTCTCGAACCGATCATCCCCTCCGCCGATCGCCCGACCCTCCTCGGCCTCTTCCAACACTTCTCAGTCAACCCCAGGGATAATATTGTCGCCCTCTTCAATCTTTTCGGCGCCCGCACCCAAGCCTCTCCCGCCTTCCAGGCTCTGCCCCTCCAAGTACGCAACCGTCTCGTCTCCACATTCCGTATCAATGTCGACGACACGCTCGGACCCGGGGGTCACCTGACCCCAACCGTCCAAGTCTACGGCGTCCTCCCGATGGACGACCTCGCCCTCACCACGACTTTCCTCACAGCCTGGCGGGCGATCAACTTCTCCGACACCTTAATCGGTGCTGCAACGTTGATCGAAGCCCACTGTGGTCAATGCTATTCTCAGGACCACCCCTCGGGCCGATGCCGAGCCGCACCACTTGTATCCGACGAGCCACCGCCCGCGAACGGCCCTCCTCCGCCCCCGGCCCCCCCGCCAGCGCCGGCGCCTGCCATGCAGCCGATCACGACTAACAACCCCTTCGCCAACATCAATAACCGTGGTAACGGTCGAGGCCGCGGCGGAAACAGAGGTGGAAGGGGTCGCGGCGGTGCGTCCCGGGGAAGGGGCCATTAACTTCCTTTTACTTTACTCCCTCACGATCGACGCTCTCTCCTCTCTCTGTACTACCTCAGCTGTATCCACTTCACGCATTTCAATCTCATGATCATCCCACCTACGTGCCAATAACCAAGTACCTGAGTGACAAATGAACGGAAGCTCGCGACCAGGCCACGCCAGCCACGCGCCGCCCTCTCGCGCCTCCCCTCTACCGAGCTAACTCCCCCTAACGATCTGCTACCCCCGTCCACCCAACTACTAATCCCTCAGCCCCTCCGCGTAGATGCTCGACCCTACTAACCACATCCCACAGCTCTCGCGAGGTAAGCGCGCCACAGTTACGTTCTTTCTCAAGAGGACCCGAATAGCCTCCTTAGGTGTGCGGCCCACATTTACCGACTAGCCGATACGTGCTAGGACGGGAAAGCCGCGTCAACACCTCACAACACGACGGAAGCCTATTCAGGCTTTGGGACAGCCGTCGGCTGCAGTCCAGCCGAAGTCGGCGAACACGGCGCTGACGCTCTCGGGATCGTCAGCTAACCCAGTAACCGACATATTCCCTAGCCGGCTAGCCATGGTGCACACGCTATGCCAATGGTGAAACTTTGATGCACCACCACGTACACTATCAACCCTTTACTCCCTCGGGGAGCTCGCGGCGCCTCGCCGCACACCCCGGGCGGGACTGGTACGTCGTCTCGGTCCCGGCACCCTCTGCCGCCTAGTCCCTCCCCGGGTCCGTCTCGGACCACTGCCGCGCCTCCCATAGCCGGCAGCAGTGCTCTCGCAGCACGCGCCGCCCCCCAGCGGCGCAGCACCTCGCCCCCACACGAGATGCGAGGTCAGGCCCCCCAGCCTGGCCCGACAGACCCCCTCAATATCACGCTACCGCGCATTCCTCCGTCTGCCCGCCCTGTTGCCTCTAACGTGAAGGCGCACACCCTGTTTGCTTCTCTCAACATCAACGGACTCCGCTCCCGTTCGGGCGCGCGGAAATTCGACCAGGTTTGGCAGCTCATGCGAGAAAGACGCATTGGTATCCTCGCCATCCAAGAAGCCCACCTGTCCAGCGAGCAAGCTGACGCCCTCTCCGGCCATTATAAGCGCCTCCGCTTCCTTGTGTCCCCGACACCCAACCACGCCTCCTCCATGGGCGGCGTCGCCTTCGTCCTGAACAAAGACGTAGTTGACGCTTCTGACGACAACATATCTTTCAATGTCATTGTACCCGGCCGCGCTGCTACCTTGGATATTGGCTGGCACACAACGCGCCGCGTCTCTATCCTCAACATTTATGCCCCATCCAACAACCCAGCCGACAAGCGCTCCTTCTATACATCTCTCTACGACTCTTGGATCGACCGCGAGCGTTTCGCACCCGACGTCATGCTCGGCGACTTCAACATTGTGGAAGCTTCCCTCGACCGCTTCCCCCCGCACACAGACGACGCGGCAGCCGTCCACGCCCTCTCCCGCCTCATCACCCTCTTCCGTCTCGAAGACGGTTACCGGCGGACCTTCCCCACGTCCCCAGCCTTCACCTTTGAACGCAACTCGGCCGAGGGTCTCACCTCCGCCCGCCTCGACCGAGTGTACGTATCTGACGAAATCCTACGCTCGAGCCATTCTTGGAACATCCACGAATCCCCGATCGAATCTGATCACAAGCTCGTCTCCTTCACTATGGTCGACGAGCAACTCCCCTTCATCGGGCGTGGACGCTACGCCCTGCCCGACCGCGCTCTCAACGACGAAGTCTTCCTTCGCGAAGTGGAGAAGTTAGGATCAGACGCCCTAACCGCTATGCGAGCTATCGACCCCGTCTCCCGCTCTCGCACGAACAACGCCCCGCTCATCTGGAAAAGGGACTTCAAAGACAAAGTTATGCGTCTTGCGCGCTCCCGCATGAAAACCACCTTCCGCCACTCGACGGAAGGCCGACTTCAAAACCTCTACGCCCAGCGCGACTCCGTCCTCAAGGAAGCTACCCACCTCGGCGCCAGCCTTGACGGCCTCGCCCTCGCGGAAATCAACTCCCGAATCCGGTCCCTAGAAGCCACCGCCTTTGCGAACAGACGCCTCGCCGTCGAAGCCCGCGACCGCGTGGAAGGCGGCCGCCCAGGCAAATACTTCTCTGCCATCCACAACCCCAAGGCGCCTAGAGATGTCGTCTTTAGACTTCGCTCCCCCGCACCGACCCCCGGAAGATCACCCCATGTCACAAAATCCAGCGAGATGGCCGAACTCGCCCGAAACTACCACGAGTCTCGCCAATCCGTCGCCCCCTGTCCGCCACCCGCCACCACGCGACAGCGAACCGCCAGGCTCGAACCCTTCATCGAACGCCGCCTGTCTGAAGAACAGAAAGCCAAACTCGACACAGCTATCACCCCCGACTCCCTCTCCAACGTGCTACACAAGGCCAAGTCCGCCTCGGCACCCGGCCTCGACGGCTTGGGCTACGCCTTCTACAAAACCCTCGTCTCCCGCTTCGAAGCCGCTCCCCCTGTACCTACGAACCACTCCCCCTCTTTCGATGTACTCGCCGCTCTAGCCCTAGTCCACAATGACATTGCCTCACACTCTCCAGACGACTATTGTCCCGAAGCCAACTTTGCTGAAGCCTGGATGGCTCTCCTATTCAAAAAAGGTGAACGTGATCGTACCGAAAACTACCGCCCGATTTCCTGCCTGAACTGTGACTACAAACTGCTCGAAGCCGAACGCGCGCTGCGCCTGTGCGACGTTATCGGTTCCATCATACAACCTGACCAAGCCGGCTTCGTTCCCGGTCGATCCATCTTTGACCAAACACAGCTTGTCCGCCTAGTCCTCGAGATGGCGGATGCCTATGACATCCAAGGCTCCATTATAGCCCTCGACCAAGAAAAGGCGTACGACCGTATACTACACCCCTACCTCCTTGACGTCCTCCGCATGTACAACCTTCCTGAATCGTTTGTCAACCTTGTCCAGGTTCTCTACACAGGTGCCTCGACGAAAGTCATGATTAATGGCGTACTCAGCTCGCCCTTTGACGTCACGAGAGGTGTCCGCCAGGGCGGCCCACTCTCCTGCCTGCTCTTCATCATAGCCATCGAACCCCTCGCCTCTATGCTACGGCTATCGGATCTTAAAGGTGTCACCGTCCATAACTCCACGAGACGCCTCATTGCGTCCCTTTTCGCAGACGACACCACCGTATTCCTCGACGCCACTGACCGCCTTGATGACCTCTTCACCATCCTCGACTCGTGGTGCCTAGCTTCCGGTGCGAAGTTCAACATCTCGAAGACCTGCATCATTCCCCTTGGTTCCCCAGACCACAGAACGACCGTCCTGGAATCCAGGCGACTACACCCCGACCATGATCCTGTTCCGGCTAACATCCCAATCCTCCGCGACCGCGACCACACGCGAGTCCTTGGCGCTTTCGTCGGAAACGACATTCGCGAGGATCTGCCCTGGGGCCCTCTCGTTTCTAAAGCACGCGCCTTTTTTGCCAAGTACGCTAACCATATCGCGTATCCCGACCTCCAGTCACGCACGAATCTCGTCTCCCTATACATCGGCCAAACTACCCAATATCTCACTCGTAGAAGTAGGCCATGACAGCTGGCAGGACGAGTCATCCCTGACCCTTTCTTCCTTGTCCTGTGTCAAATGAAGAAGAAGATTATACTAGGCTTAAGATGGCATAGATGAGTACTGATTGTCTTATGTTGTATAGATCTGAGATATCACCCAATTTACCTTCATGGATAGAGGATGATCCCATTGTCATTCCATCATTGTAGTATACTTCACCAGCTCTTCCCACCATTCTACAAGTGAAGTGAGATCCGTCCCAGTAGATGAGTCCTCTGACTTTATAAGTAACCTTCTGATCCCTCTCACCAATACTTACTTGAGCCGTTATCTTTGGCTTGCACATGCCTTCTCCAGTAGATCTACGATCCTCCATTCCTATAGCCAAAAATGGTGGTGGATAGTCTACATTCAAGGTGATAGTTTCTTTCATTTGTTGTATACCACAATGATGACAGGCCTCAGCAGCCACCCTATTGAACCGGTTTTTGATCTCTGTATTCAGACTCTGCTGATTGTCCTTCACAGGGATATGCCAGATAGGAAATTTCATGAGGCGGTTGTCTGTTCTGTTGCAGTTTGAGCACTGGCGATTGTAACGGATTTGATTTCCGCTATCATCACTGAAGAGCTTATGGAGAAGATGGCCGAGGTCAGTATAACGCCCATCCATGGGGAACGACCGGGGATCCTCACTATTCAGTTGTAGTTGCAGAGCATCTCTTGTCTCTTCCATTTTATCCAAGTCAGCATACTGAAGTGCACGAGCCCAACCATTCGCAACCTCTGCCAATGTAGTATTCACTCCATCCATGGTATCCTTCCACGCACGAGTGTTGTGACAGTATACATTGGATAAAATTGCCAAAGTACTATCATAGGCACAAGTCTGAGTCTGACCCTTCCACTTCAAACCTCTCATCCACTGAGTTTTGGTTGTTGTCTTCTTCTTCTTAGCTGGGGGCCGTATAATATCATTCTGAGGCCTTAAGAGAGGGTCTACTTCATCAAGTTTGCGCTTCTTACCTTTTAATTTACTAGCACTATTAGAAGTGGGTGCCTTATCCACGGTCTCAAGTTTCTTCTCCAAACTCTTCCACACAAAGGAGGGATCATCATCAAAGTCAACATTCAACGGGTCATTTCCAGATTGTCCCCACCGGATAGCTGAATGTATATTCTTGGGACATTTTTTATTGCCATAAATCTTGAGATATGACTTCAGAATTGTGGATCTAGTGTTACCACCTACCCCATCGTTCAAAGTTCCTTCCCATCGCAGTCTGGTGATTTCATTAAGCAACTCTAGTTCTCGGAATTCCTGTCTCAAGTGACCAGATTTTTTGAGTTCAGTATCTGATTCACTGGTACTCCAAAGCCCACCTGTAATAAGTGTGTGCTTACACATTCTGAGTATCACTGTACCCTTCAATGTTGATGCCCTTGACAGACAAGTATATACAGATTGATGAGTATCACAGTGCTCAAGATCAATGATATTCACAGGCCGAGTTCTGCCTTGTGCGGCAAAGTCAGTCATAGCAAAATTGGGAAGCAGTGGGACCTGTTCACGATTGACTCCCAACAGACTTCCATCAGGGAACTTGATGAATACTCCCTGCTTTGCTCTACAAATGGGAACCACATTGATTGGGAGCCCATCTAGCTTCACAGGGGAGGGTGGCTTTGTCAACTTTACAAAGATGATATCAAGAACAGGACGGCCATCAGCAAGCTTGGAGGACTTCCAGCTATGCACCGTAGCCTCAGCACCATTGGTTACATTGAGCTCAGTCGCATCGTTTCGCTTTAGCAGCACCGGCATTCCCTTACATATGGTGAGTTTACCTGCAATACTATCTGTACTAGCAGGTTGAATATCCAAGACCTTATCAGCAAGCTGTTTTGGAAGAGCATTGCCTGCGCGTAAGGGATTATGTGTGAACAAGGCCTTTCCTGCAGGCGGCTTTGCATTTGAGTAAGTGTCTACAGCATAAAAGGTATGAAGCTTCTCCTTTTTATCTCTGGCAAACCTAGCTGATCCCACTTGATTGAGCAAGTCCCGATTAGCATTCCTACGTGTTATAACAGAGGCATGTACAAAGTCAGGATGCAATAGGTCAATATCTGGATGATCATCTCTGGGAATTCGCGAGTGCATGAGCTCAAGATCATCTCTATCGCATGATTTCATCCTCAAATTAACTAGAAGCTTTCTAAACTTGGCATCTTCGTCACTCTGAGTCTTTTGTCTCATGTTCTGTGTAAGCAGAACTACAACTGTAAATTGATGCCATAGAGCCTTGCCAATACTCTCCTTTTGCTTCTTCACAGAATTGGTACTGTGAACTCTGGTACTCACCAAACGGTCATAAAGGGGGGGACCGCTCTTTCCAATTGGTGGTAACTGAGCAAAGTCCCCAGCAAATATCATGTTTTTGCCAGCGAATGCAGCATCATCAATATTCATGGCCATGTTCATTGAGGCACTGATGTTGTAAAGTGATTGACAGTCTAGCATAGACACCTCATCTATAAACACATAGTCTACAGATTTGAGGCGGGCCCTTATTGTTTGTTGGGTGGTCATACCACGGGTCAGAGGATCCTTATCACTTTTCCCACCTTCATCACCTTTACTACCACCGCGAAATCCAAGTGCGGAGTGATATGTGGAGCCCCCTACAAGAGACGCAGCAGATCCAGTGGGAGCTAGGATCATGAATGCATAGGACTTACCCCGAGCTTTGAAAAATTCTATAAGCGACTTGATAACCTGAGACTTTCCAGTACCTGCCATTCCACCAATATACATCTTCAAAGGATCCGCCATTGCTCCTAGCAGGGAGTGGTTGGCAATGATTCTGAAGGCTCTTTCCTGTTCTTCATTGAGAGTAAAGTCCTTTACAATCTTATCCATGAGATCATTGGCATCATCCTCCTCAGATCTGTGTTTCTTTGATAGAAAAGATCTGTCTACAACTCTTACCTGATCTTCCCAGAAACGATTCTCATCTGCCTTCTTCACTCCGTCCATATTCTCATCTTCAGGTATGCCTTGTGCTTTCTGTGCAATAGCCTCCTTGCGTTTCTCTGCCAGTAGATCTTTCCATCCCTTCACAGTGCGAGCATCAACATTGAACTCATCTGAGGGGGAGACTGGATCTGTGACCAAATTATCATCGAGTGATTTCTCAGTACCATCAAGGTGGTCAAATACGGGATTAACCCAGCCTACAGATTCTAGTGTATGCTTCATGTTACTCATAGCCACAGCTGCATTTACAGCACTACTTCCGATTCTCATTGGTTCAAATGCACTGTCCATTCTGGCCATATCATCCTCCATAGTATCAAGCTTACTGGTTGCCCAGGCTTCACGATCGAGTTCATGCATAAACTGTCCTCCTACCCAGTTAAGCCCATTCTCCTTAGCATCACTGACACGCTGAGCTCTAAAATCATCTCTAGCATCATTGCATTCATACCGCACATGAAAGAACTTCATGATCTCTTGTTGTCTATCCGAGAAGATATGCTGCTTAAATGCACCTTCCCAAGTTTGCTCCGGAGTTTTGAGGGACTTTGGATCTGTCCATGGTTTGAATAGAGTAAGCATTGTCCTACAATACTCTTCATGATCTCCTTTATCATATCTAGGTAGAATACCCCCTACAAAATTTGGG